TATCATGTGTGCACAAAAGGACGTCCGTCCGATCACCATGATCACAGTCAGTGCAGTCACTGAGTCAACATGGTCAAGGAGCACAGACTGTCAGGCATGCAGTGCACTGCATGTGTAATATGGGTTTTTTTCATCATTAGCCGGGACTGGCGGGAGCAGCTAACACATGCGCGTGCGGTAGATCGATACTGTACGGATCTGTACGGATAGTACTTAGTAGTCTGTACTGGTGTTCACGTCCGTGATTTACAAACAGACACTGCAGACAATACGGAGGATTAGCAAGACGAAATTCGCGTTCGCGTTCGCTCTCCAAGGAAAGTCGAACTCAGTGACGGAATTCGCGTTATGAGAAGGATTAGCAAACAGAATTCGCACATGCATGACGTTGACACGACGTACATTGTGTACAGACAGTACAGCGTGGTAAATTTATGACTGCCCTGACACGAATCCGCGATTCGTGTTCCGACTACTTTTCCGAACGAAAAATGCGAAAGTTCGCAATCCAGTTCGCGAACTGAAAAGTGTTTGCAAACGCGAACGCGAATTTCGTCTTGCTAATCCCCCGGACTATTGGGTGGTTGTTTCCTTTTTGATCTTCCGAAACGATCCAAACTTACCTCCATTGGCGCTGTCATTCACTGCTGCTCAGGATGGGTGTGGTGTGGTCAGTATTCCTTGGACAAGTTTTTTGCAGAAGAGAAAGGATGTTCCGAGTACTGACACTCTTCAACGAACTTCGAACCGTACACGTAGAGTTCAAGCTCCTCAGAAGATGAGGGCTCCGACATCCAAGCAAAGTCAGTCTCTACCTGCTGCAGCATGCAGTAGTGACTAGTTGCTCCTCCGCAGGAACGGAGTGCTGCGCCAGCGATGTAGTTTAGATGACATTGAAATGATTGTACCCCGTCGACACTGTTTCGCTGTTGTTGTTTCTGTCACTGAAGTGAAGACGATGCTCTTGTCCTGTGACTATAGAGCATTTCGCATCGTAAAAGTGCCAAAAATTTCCGAACGTACAAATGGACAGGGAAAGTAACTTAGTTGTCATTTCGGCATTCCTGGCTCTCAACGTACCCATGGCTTGCATATTCGATCTTTACAAAACGTTGAAAGGGTCTTCAAGCCCTCACTGAACCTGTGTGCCAGTCGAGTGCATATATGTATATGATTATGTGTCGGTACTAAATTTTACAATGTAGGGTAAGCAGCAGCATTTGACCCTGTACACAGGTTTTCGATCGTCCACCAAACCACAACTGCGCTCCGACTCAGTCTCCAGCGATGGTGGTGTGCTGTGGCAACGTGTCGAGGCCGGCTGGAGAGCGCAGTTGTGGTGTGGTCGATGATGGAAAAATAGTATTATGTCCGTAGTGTATTTTAAAAGCATGCGATTCCACTAACACAATCGGATTGTCGTTATTTTACAAATACAAGTGTCAACCGCACATCTGATTCTAGAATATTTTGGCTGTTCAATTTTGGCTCAACCGGAACCCCCCTGTAGAGATCTCTGGATCCGCCCCTGACGATGTAGCAGGGAGTCTGCGGAAGCTGTTTCTGCACACCTTTCAGCTGCTGTTCAGCACCTGGCCACCGGGCTGAAGGGCCGTGGTTTAATTCTTAATGAAAGAAAGACACAGATATTGCCTATTCCCCCATCCTCATCTCAAGCACTTGAGCTGCATGTCATTTGTAATGGGCAGACGCTGCCTGTTGTGAAAACGGCCAAGTATCTTGGCCTACATTTCGACTCAGACATGAGCTGGAACACCATGACAAGCCATGTTGCACGCCGCGTTGCCGCTAAGTTTGGGCTACTAAATCGAAGTGCAGCATGTTTGCCTTTTTCTTGCCGTGTTCAGTTTTTCAGGTCCTTTATACTATCAGAACTTGACTATGCATCTGTTGCCTATGCCTCTTTCTTATCGTCTTATCAGGATAAGCGCCTAAATAGTTTGTTCAAACGTGCGGCTCGCTCGGTGTGCAGGGCAGCCCCTCGCACTCAAACGGCTCCCTTACTTGAACGCATGAATGCCCATACCCTCAGCATTATACACCCTCATGCACATTCTTGTATTCATTTGGCGCTGCCTGAACAAATCTTCAAGTACTCTGTTTGCAAGCTTTTTCACCCGTAGTCCCTCTCTCCGAACACGAGGAGGGAGCAGCAAGTTACTCGTCATTCCTGTCTCTCCCACTGCATCCTCCGCTAAGCGCATTAGCCATGCTGGAGCGATCCTGTGGAACCAGCTCCCAGACACAGCACGCCTTGAAAGAAAGCGCTCCACTTTCAAATCGCTAAGCCCGGCCTTTCTGTTAGGCAGTACCGTCAACTAGGATGAACTCATCTGCTTCACTACCTCTCACTCTCTCCCTCCCTCTCTCTCTCTCTCTCTCTCTCTCTCTCTCTCTCTCTCTCTCTCTCTCTCTCTCTCTCTCTCTCTCTCTCTCTCTCTCTCTCTCTCTCTCACTCACTCACTCCTTTCTTCCCGGTTGCCGTGCTCATATTAGTTATCTAACTACAGCTGTATCCTCTTCTTGGTTCTGTTTGTCCGCTTATTATTATATATTTTTCTTTTCTCTTATTATCAGTGGGACCATTGTCATTAGGTTTAGGCCTGTTTTGGAACTCCACTTTAAATAAAGCCAAACAACAACAACTTACGGGAAGGGGTATTTGTAAGATGGAACCTAGGAACTGGAAGACGACGAAGAAGAAGCGTGGGAATCCGGCGGCCATGGCTGGGATGTAAGTCAAAACTTGCTGGTGCTAGAGTTGCCACTGCTTGCTTATAAGGGAATCATGTGTGTTGCCTTTTTGCTTTTTCCGACGTCCTCTTCCGACTGTACTCCCAGGACTGAACTACGGGAAGGAGTGCTTCCAAGATGGGAGACGAAGAAGAAGAAGCCGCTGAATCCGGCGGCAATGGCTGGGACGTACACGTAAGTCCAACATTACTGGTGCTAGAGTTGCAGCAGTACTTCTGAAGTGCTGTGCTGATATCATTGCTCCGTCTGTTGCTGCTCTCTTCAATGCCTCACTATCCCGTGGTACAGTACCCTCTGCCTTCAAGCTTGCACACGTATCACCGCTATATAAAGCTGGTCACCCAGCAGTTCCCACTCACTTCCGTCCCATTTCCCTTCTCCCAATCCTGTCCAAGCTATTAGAGAAGCTGGTGCAGAAGGAACTTGTATCAGTCATGAACATCACGGAGTCACTTCCCTCCACTCAGTTTGCATTTCGCAGCGGCCATTCCACTGAGGATGCACTAGCTCTCATCACCAACCGTATCCTTACTGCCTGGGACAAACGAATGTACACAGGTGTCTGCTTACTGGACATGTCCAAAGCATTCGATAAAGTAACATGTTAGTTAGACATCACCAACTAATTCTCGACCTCTTCAATGTTGGTGTCACGGCCACAGCCCTGCGGTGGTTCATTTCTTACCTCTCCGAACGGACCCAGCGTGTGTGTATCGGACCATCACGCAGCACTATCACTCTCTGCACATGCGGAGTGCCACAGGGATCTGTGCTCGACCCCATTTTGTTCAACATATACACTCGGGAAATACCCTATTTTTGCTGGACAAGCTTTGTCTTTGCAGTTTGCAGATGACATTGGTCTCACTTGCAGCAAACCGACTAAATCTGAAGTGTCTGCAATTCTGTCTGCGTCAGCTTCAGCTATTTCTAACTGGCTAAACGACCGTGGATTGATCCTGAATGCTTCCAAAAGCCAGGTGATCTCCATTTCCGGGAACCTACCTGAGAAGCATACTCCACTCTCGGTGAACTGTAACGGGACCCTGCTGCCTCTTGTGGAGTTTGCCAGGTACCTTGGCGTAACATTAAATTTTGATAGCAACATGTCTTGGGATGACCACGTAACCCGCTGTGCAAACCGTGTATCACGAAAGATCGGAGTCCTGTGGAGGATGCGGCGTTGCCTCAGCATACAGGGTCGGATAACTTATTTCCAGTCCATCATAATGCCCAATCTTCTATATGGATCAAATGCATTTTCGACATCTCTGGCAGCCAGGCACTGTCATCGACTACAGGTTCTGCAAAACCGTGGTGCCCGTGTAGTGTTTGAACGCCCGCCATGGACATCCGCACATGACCTACTGGAGCGCCTCTCACTGTATCGGGTTACCGAAGTGTACAAGCAGAAGCTGGCATTCCTTGCATGGCGCTGCCGTGACGGCCAAGCAAGTCCTGAGCTTCAGGTTCTCTTACTACCAGCTTGTGGCCGGTCCACGCGCCTTGACTCCAGCATGGGTCTCTGCCTGCCACCCGCCCGCAGCAACTCTGGAAAGGGGACATTCACCTTCCAGGGTGCGCTATGCTGGAACAACCTGCCAAGCAGTATTCGCTCCATCTCTGTTCCTCGTCAGTTCCGTGCTGCCGCAGTCCCGTTTCTTCTATGAACTGAGAACATTGCAAAGCAATTGTATGTGTGGCTGTCAATGTACATGTGTGTGTGTGTGTGTGTGTGTGTTTGTGTCTGTCCTTGCTTTGGGTGGGGACAGTTTGAGTTTTTTTTGCTCTCTGTAAGTCTTCCTCTCCTGACTGTTTCTGGACATAGTGAGACAGGCCTGGGCGGCCTGGGGCCTCCCCAGCCGTCCAGGATAACATACTGAGGCGGGAATATCGGCGGCGGACTTGGTCGACGATTTTTGATGTCGACACTCTTGTCGTCGTCCCGTTCTCAGATGCCTTCGCGAGGCGTTGCGAGCCCGCGAGTGGTGACATCTACAGCACAAAGAAAACGACAGCATGGAGTATTCAGCATAGGCTCTTGGAAAGTACGCTCTCTGGTTGAGAGTGAGGGCCACATTCAGACGGCTGCCGCGAGTGGAATTGTTGCCGACGATAAAAAAATTTATCAAATTGTACAACATCTGGAACGCCTGGAGATGGACGCCGCTGCTCTTCAAGAGACCCACTGGTTTGGTCAGGAAAACTATCAAGTCCACGGAGCAATGGTCATTGCTTCGGGTCGGACTGTGCCTGGGGAAGGAGCGTCCAGACGGCGAGGTGAGGGCGTTGCGTTTGTGCTGAGGGGAAATGCGCTTCGGGCCTGGCGCGAAGGGGGTTGTCAACTCGTCGCAGTATCCGCTCGGTTGTTGTCCATACGCTTGAAGTTTGATCTGGCGAGTGGAGAGGTTGAATGGATGTCGCTGGTTACAGCTTATGCGCCAACATTCAACAGTAAGCGCTGTGAAAAGGATGCGTTTTATGACTCTCTGCAAGGAGTACTCAACTCAATACCGTGCACAGATAAATTTGTTCTACTTGGAGATTTCAATGCCAGAGTGGGATCTGGAGAGCCAGGTGATGATTGGAGCGCTGTGCGTGGCTCACATGGCTTGGGCTGCCTGAATTCGTCTGGAGAGGAGCTACTTCAGTTTCTGGCAATGCATCAATGCTGGATCGCGAACACCTGGTTCAGGAAAAAGCAGGAATTGAAAGGCACTTGGCAGCATCCCAGAACTAAACATGTCCATTGTATTGACTTCATCATCACAGCGCAAGGGAGCCGGCACTGGTGCACTGATGCTCAGGTTATTCGCTCGGCAGAATGTGGGAGCGACCATAGTCTTGTTGCCGCCAGGTTTAGGCTCGGCAGGGTCTTGTGGAAACCGCGGAAATCCACAAAGAGAGTACGATTTGCAGTGCATAATCTGCCCCCAGTGGTTTCGACAGATGCTGAGGGAAACCACCGGAGGAAGGTTGACGACTACCAGGAAAACATCAATGCCAAGATTGATGCAGTGGCGGACGCGGAAACGGTAGACGAGAAATGGAATGCGATGCGGGACGTGGTGACGGCGGCAGCTGCGGACACTCTCAGTCATCAGAGGAGACGGCAGCCTGATTGGTTTACGGAAAGCCAGGACGGGCTGCGGCCACTGCTGGACGCGCGCAATGCATGCTATCGAACATGGATCACTAGTGGCCGGAATCAGGAAGAGTATTCGCGCTACCGTGTTGCGCGCACGAGGGCTCGCGCTGCCACCCGAGCTGCGAAGAATGATTGGTTTGCTGCCATGGCACAACGTACTGAGAAGGGGCGCTTTGACTCGGCGCGCATCTGGGCCGGTATCAAGACCATGCAGACGGCTCGGCGAGGGCTTGTGGGTGTAACTGCAGTCGCTGTGCGGGACGAGAACGGAAATGTCTGTAATTCACCGGCGGATCAGGGCCGCACATGGCACCGTCACTTCTCCAAGGTTTACAATGTTCCAACCTCGTATGAACCTGCAACTGTTGCCACCATTGAGCAACAGGAAGTGTGTGAAGACCTCGCCGATCCACCTACTCTGGAAGAGCTTAGGCAAGCTGTGCGCCGACTACGGAACGGAAAAGCAGCAGGAGGCTCTGGAATCTTACCGGAACTGCTGAAGGCTGGTGGGGATGGCCTCATGATGGCACTACTAGACCTTGTCCAGACAGTGTGGAATGCAGAGCGGGTGCCCCAGGAGTGGGTGGACTGCCAGCTTGTCCCGATACCAAAAAAAGGAAATCTATCCAGCTGTGACAATTGGAGGGGCATCGCTCTTCTGGAGGTGGTAGGAAAGGCTGTTGCTGGCCTCGTCCAGACAAGATTGCAGCGGCTCGCGGAAGACATCCTACCAGACACGCAGTGTGGATTCCGCAAAGGCAGATCTTGTGCGGACATGATCTTCGCGGTGAGACAAATATCTGAGAAACTATATGAACATCGCTGCTCTGGTTTCATGGTTTTGTTGATCTACGGAAGGCCTATGATTCCGTCACCCGTAAGTGCATGTGGGAAATTCTCCGGAAGGCGGGCGTACCTGACAAGCTGGTTACCATTATCAGCTCATTTCATACCTCTATGTCTGCAAACCTGTCGATCCCGGGCATCGAGGCCGAGCCTATTGAGGTGCAAAATGGCCTTCGACAAGGTTGTTGTATGGCCCCAGTATTGTTCAATATATTCCTGTGGGCAGTATTCCAGCTGTGGCAGCGTGAGGTTGCGGACATACCTGAGATTGGACTTCCCGTCTCCTCTAACTCTGGACCGTCTCTCCTTTTCAAACGCCAGAAGACTGACACAATCAACATCCATCGTGACTGTCAATTCGCAGACGATTCGGCACTTATTGCTACAACTCACCATGGTGCCACACTTGCGCTCAGCCGGTTCATGGACGTCGCAACTCGCTTCCGCCTCACCATCAACCTATCAAAAACCAAAGTAATGGCGATCGGCTTCGGCATTTCTCCGGAGGATCGTCGTCCATTGGTGGTTGGCGGGGAAATTTTCGAGAATGTGCATGACTTTCGCTACCTAGGCTCCATCATCCATACTGGTGGCCGCACCGCAGTGGACACTCGGTCCCGAGTAGCGTCAGCATCTAGGGCATTCGGAGCATTGCGTCGATCTGTCTTTGATGATGGCGATCTTTCACTGGCAACGAAGCGAATGGTGTATGATGCATGTGTGGCTTCTCTTCTCCTTTACGGAGCGGAGTGTTGGGTACCACTGAAAAGCGAGCTTGCGGCGCTGTCCGCCTTCCATCTTCGCTGCATTTCCGCAATCTTAGCCCTCGGTAGAAGAGACACCTGGGACTTCCACATCAACAGGAAGACCATTCTGGAGGCCTGGAATCGTCGAGATCCAGTGGATATTACCACACGTGTTCTTCGCCGCCGTCTGGAGTGGCTAGGCCATCTAGCTAGGATGGACGGCGATAGAACTCCGCGCCAGCTCCTGTTTGGTGCGCTCCTTCCGCCGAGGCCGGCTTGCGGTCCTCGGAAACGGTGGCGAGACTCTGTCAGAGCTGACCTCTCCGCAGTGAACATCGACCACACGGAATGGTACGACCTCGCCCAGGAGCGTGGGAAATGGCGCAGTGCGTATTCCGCTCAACCAGTACCGCGATCGGCTCAGCGTGACACTTCTGTGCTCTGCGATGTTTGCCAGCGTACTTTCGCCCACCAGAAATACAAGAATCGCCACAAGTGCCTGGCCGAGAGGAGGAAGCCCATATCTGAGCAGTCCGGCAGCCGACTATGTAATGCGTGCGGGAGGTGGTTCTTGAGTGCTGGCGGGCTAGCTTCGCATAAGTGTCTCTCCAACTCGGCTGCTGAAGTGGCGTCGGTCTCGGCTGTGGCATCGGCAGACTCGGTCCGGAAACAGCGGGTTGCCCTGCCCTGCGCCTCTCGCTCCCACCTCTGCTGTGTGACTTTCCGTATCCCAGCCATTCCTTACACACGCGCTATGAAGGTGACGATAGCGTTCGATTTTTATTTCGCGCGATTGTGCAAAGCGATCTTCACTACATACCGTGAGTTCCAGCCACAGAACTCTTCTCAATTCTTTGGAGAAGAGCACTATGTCTGGACGACAGGTTGTAGGTGCTATGAAGTGGGGGAAAACAAGTTTCTCATCCTTCATGTCCACCAGGACCTGCCAGTCTGCTGAGCTAGTTACAAATTGGTCATTTAGCCGTTTGCGTTGGGAGGGGGGCTGTTTGGGGAGATTCTCTCCTGCCTTGCAGAAAGTTATGTAATCAATTCTCTTCTGTTTACTCTGCGTTTCTGCTGATGCCGTGGCCTTTTGATAAGTTTGGATGGTTTCGTTTACTTGTTTTACTATGCATTTCAGTACGTTGTCGTGGCGCCAGGTATATCTGCCCTGGTGGAGGGCTGTTGGACATGCTGATAATATGTGACGGAGCGTAGCTTGCCTGTTGCATAGAGGGCATTGTTGTTCGACCACAGAGTTACCCCACCTCCTCAGATTGTCAACTGTTGGTAGTGTGTTTAATACACAGTTTAGTTGAAAGGAGAAAGTCCTCCCGTAGCCTTTGTACAACAGTTTTTTCCAAGTTAGGTCTTCAAACATCGTGTCTCTCCACTTTAACCAGCTGCCTTGCATTTGCAGGCTTTTGAGGTTTGAGGTGGGATAGCTGGTCTTGGCAGTCACCTTCATGAATGGTATTGAGTATTTGTTTTCTAGGTTTGATTTTCTCTTGTTTGTCATGCCTAAAGCCGAGTCCTGCCCTGCCTTGCTGGAGGTTAGTTGGACTAGCTTCAGAGATCGCTGCCTCGGCACATTCCATTTCTTTTATTGCGGAGTATTGTCTTGTGAGCAGATACTGTTGTTTGCTGTGATGTTGGTACAGGTTTGCCATGTTCTTGTCGCTGCTGTTCTTGATGATATTCCATCTAATGACCTGTCGTTGCTTCCATAGCGTAGGGATGTACGTTAAACGTAGGCCGAAGCGCTCCCGAGCGCCGATGAAGAGTATTGCTGGTGCTGCGGGTCTGGGCAAGCCTGCCCATTTCTTTAAGAATGGAAGGCAAATTCTGTGTAGGAGTTTGGCGAAACTGTGGCTGAGATCAAGTATCTCGAGCTACCATGCTATTTTGGGGATGATTTGATGCTGGTAGAGCCACAACTTCTGGTGTCCGTACAGTCTGGTCTCGGCAACTGTCTTTAGTAGGCATCTTGTGGAGTTTATGAGGTCTTCGCGTTGCGTTATCTCACCTACTGTATCTGTTAGCATCCTGCCTAGAAACTTGAATTGTTGGCCGTTTAGAGCTGGTATTGGAGTTTCCGATATTCTGAGTGCGGGAAGAAGAAGAAGAAGAAGAAGAAGAAGAAGAAGAAGAAGAAGAAGAAGAAGAAGAAGAAGAAGAAGAAGAAGAAGAAGAAGAAGAAGAAGAAGAAGAAGAAGAAGAAGGGAAATGCTCACCATCAAATGGTGGATAAAAACCGTTTCGACTGCTTTTTAGACAGTAACGGGTAAAGAAAAAAGGAAAAAGAAACTCATATAATGCAATTCGAAGAGATAGGCCCCCAGTACAGTTGGGGTGTGGTTGTGTCCGTATGGTATGGTGTGTCATGTACAGGTAGTTGCGTTGTGATGTATGGTAATTTGTAGGGCGAATGTCGAGAAGGCTATGAAAATAACGATTCGACAAGAACAAGTGACTACGAGAGGTTGGCAAGGTTGGCGATCGTCCACCCCCGGCCCTTTAGAGGCCGGAATGGCGAGTTCAAATCTTGATTTTAAGGACGTCCAACTATCCTCGCTGGGTGGCCGATCGCCCACCAAGTGCTCTACAACAGGTTCACCAAACAGTTTTAATACAAAGAAGAAGAAGAAGAAGAAGAAGAAGAAGAAGAAGAAGAAGAAGAAGAAGAAGAAGAAGAAGAGAGAGACAGACAGACAGAGAGAGAAGAAGAAGAAGAGAAGAGAGAGACACACACACACAGAAACAGAGAGACAAAACTGAGAAACAGAGAGACAGAAGAAGAGGGAAAGAAACAGATAGAGAATAAAAGATAGATACAGAGAAAAGTGACCGAGTGAGGGACAAAGTAAGACACACAGAGAAAGACTGAAGAAGAGAAGCAGACAGAGAAACAGAGACAGACAGATGGGGACAAAAATACAGAGACAGGTAGACAGAGAAACAGAAAGGAAGACAGACAGACAGACAGATGGACAGACAGACAGATAGGGACAGGCACACAGACAGAACGAGATAGGCAGACAGCTAGAGTAAAGACAGGCAAACACTGTACAGACAAACCAAGACACAGACAGAGACACATAGACAGAGAGAAAGAGAGAGGCAGACAGATATAGAGACTAAAAGAATAGAGAGACAGACAGAAAGAGAAAAATGCGGAGACACACAGATACGATAGATTTCGTTCTTTGCATTTCTAATACTGAAGTAGTATAATACAAGCAGGTAGCAGCATAATGCACACAGAGTGCTGAGAGTAGTCGAATGCGGTGAAAGCAGAGTGTAGTAGACACTACAGGAGTGAAGCAAAGCTGATTTGTTGGAATGCTGCCTGACTGCTTGCCTATGCTGCCTGATGATTGCACTGGGCAATGAACCAGCCTTGTGGAGGGGACGGCTCGATACCGGGACGCTTTGAAAGCCAAATTTGTATAGACCCAAACTGATCATTAGCGTTGATTTGATTTTTCCTGCTTGGAAGCGGAAGGAATTTTTCCAGCCGTGCTGCGACCCACAGTTAATTGGGAACTCGTGGCCTGGCACGAGGGTAACATGGATGCAGCTAATGGGATTTCCGTCTTTGACCACTTGGTGGTGGGTCTGATCTACTCACCTCCCACCGTTTAGGCGCTGCATCTGCGCCTTTGATCCTAGAGGGTGGTGGCGTTCCCACGGCGGATGCGGAAAACTCGGCTTCCAGCCGAGTCTCACGCGAACCGTGAATTTTTTTTTTTTTTCACTTGAAATATGTTTGTGGAAGGAAACTGGCATGTTTAAGTTTGCTCTGGGGCCAGAGTCAATCGAACTGAGGCACTCCTTTGTGTTGACCCATTGCCTCCAAGTTGCCCAATGTTTTACTTCAAAAAAGTTCAAATCAGAGGTGGCTCCAAACCGGACCCGTTTTAGAGTGCACGTCGAATTCACTCTGGGTCTGAAATTAGGTAATTGCTATCGCTCCACGACGGCCAGTACAGAGTAAGAATAAGCCTTGTGTGTGCTTCTATTAGTTTTGATTGGTATGCGGTGCTTTATTGGCGAGAGGCGAGCCGCTGTTTACCTGCGACAAGAAGTTGATTTTTCGAAAGTCGTAAAACTCAAGTCGCAGTGCGAAGCAACACGTCAAAAACTCACCTGCTTGATATGGCGCTTCTGGTCATCCTAGAGCCATGAAATTTTGGCTCGGAGTATAACACATCGTAGTTTCACTATGACATATGTTTTCTAATCAAAATACCAAGGGAGAAAGTGAATATTGAGTCCGTTCCGGTTTGCAACCTGTGTCCTATTTGAACCAGCCTTGTACCACTGGTGTACTGTGTGCAAAAACTTATAGTGAGGTGAACTCATAAAACAGTGAGCCGAAAAAATACGATTAAAAAGCCGATTCACAAACCAGGTAAAGACAGGAAGACAGAAAGAAAGATGTGTGCGCATACACCCTGCACCTGTGCACGCACACGCACACACGCAGAAGGGAGTTGATAGGTGGAGAATTGCGAAAACAGGGGACCCAGTGTGCCCTCAAGGAGATAAAGAGATAGAGATAGGCAGAGAAATATCTTTGGCAAAGTATATTCGGCCCTGGTTTAAATCTGGCTTTGGAATTTATTTTTCATTGTAATCAGGTTCGGTCTCATTTCTCTGTGCTGTGCTAATGACTTCACAAAGGGCGAAACAGTTCTGTCTCCAGATTGGATAGATATATAGAATAGATGAAGATAGATAGAGAGAGAGGGGGGGGGGGAGAGAGAGAGAGAGAGAGAGAGAGAGAGAGAGAGAGAGAAAGAGAGAGAGACATAGGCAGCTGTCTTGGTCATTATCATCCGATGTATTCCGTGGGGCGTAGACAAGGTGTGCATTGAGAATCCTGTCACAAGGCCTCGCAATACTTATAATTATGGAATTAGGCAGTAAGGTGGTGCTAGTCTTGATATGTTTCACTCAGGTCATGTCTGATATCGTTGGCGTAAGAGAAAATCAGTGGGTGTGCATCCACTGCACTTGCAGACTTGCGTGTCTCTCTTGCGACGGATGCACCTGGTACTTAGTCTCTGTGTCAATTGGCTCATTGTGCGGGCGAGTGGTCACTGCCAGAGTTCAATGTCGGAAAAGGTAAGTAGCTTTAGAGTGCAATATAGAAATTTATGCCAAATACGCGGTCATTAGGAGAGACTATACCAGCAACTTCGACTCATATACTTCAATATCAAATTAGATCTGTATAAAAGACGCTGCTCTGTGGTATTTGAGTTGTGGTTGATCAACAGCGTATCTGAGGTACATGTGGCATCCATTGGTCTTGTTTGAGTGACGCTAGGCATGCAACCGGATAACGTTGGTGAAAGGTTTCATTACCAAAGAACTTGATTGGTTTGCTATTTAGCTTCCTGTGTGGCGTGACATTGTTTCCATTGACTGGTTTAGATTCTTGCCCACATTTCCAGGAGTCCAGCCAATTATTAGCTGCCAAAGCTATTTGAATAGCCAGATTATGTATTCTTATCTGGTCTGCACTCCATCCGCTTGCATCAGTAAGCAATGCAAACGCGTTGTCCCTTGCACAGGCACGTGACTTCTGCAGGCAATTCCGGGAGAGCGTAAAGTGGCAGGACGAATTACCGTGAATTTGCAACATGATCTGAGTACAATCGTAGCACATCAAGTCTTGACACTACTTGTGACATGATCAATTTTGCTATGCTCTAATGTAGATTAGAAATAAGAGGCATTTGTCAGATACTAGTAACCATGAGGTACTGAGACGATTCTCTTCGGTAAGCCACCCACTCTGCTAAACAATGTTCAACATTAATAATCTGTCATCCGCCTGCACCAACTTGACTGTCCTCCTGACAAGTGAAAACCGCTGGCGTTGTCCGGCCATAAACACCATTATTGGCCTTAATCCAACGCCTCCGTTGCTCCTCATCTCTGCAGCTCATACAAATACTGGCAATAGGTCTGGCACTGTTGCAAACCACCAGTTCTCAAGTGGGAAAGGCCTTCGCGCTTATGGCATTGTATTTGTTGCAATGTTGTATTTTGACTCCGCCGTACCGCTGATGTTGCTGCATGGCATACGCTATATGCATTTTGCTGTATACGCTGTTATGTCCCGTTTTATTTACGTATGTTTTGCATGTACGCTGTTTTTTGCATGCTATAAATAGCTGGTGTTATTAGCGGTCATTGTTAATTATTCGATGAAGTGAAATATACTGTGTAAAGGAAAAGAGTTGTCCTCGTGCCGTGTGGTCGTACGATCCTGACAATTTTAGAGAATCTTAGAGGGTTCACAACATTTGGCGACCACGCCAGGATCGGAGCGAGCATGGCAGAGGAACTATGGAACAATTTGGAAGCCAGCTTTATCGACAATGGAGAGCGGTTAAGATTAGAAGGCGAGTTGTTGAAGGTACATGTGGAGCAGAGGCTCCAACAGTACGCAGAGCGTGAGGAGCGCAGTGCCAGACGGCGAGAGGAGGCGCTCCGCACCGAGTTTGACAAAACACTAAAGGAGATTAACGAGCGCATCGCCAATGCGTATGAGGGTGATGGTAAAGCCGCGATGGGAGGTACAGAGGAAGCTCTCAGTCACAGCGGTGGGCGTCAACCGTTGATGAAAATCCCCTCATATGATGGAACGCAGCCATTGGAGCGTTATCTTGACCTGTTCGAGGACATCTGTTCCAAGAACGAGTTCGAAGAAAGT